GTGTCCATGACTATTAACACTTTTCTACTCATTTTCCACATTAGATATTCTAACGCCAAGATCACACTCGCAATGCCCCAAGCAATGCTCAGCACTGTAAATGGACCACTTAGTTGCTCAAGCGTCAGCGGTTGGGCTTCGCCAATGTAGAATTTGAAAGGGATGGTGACACCGTTGGCATCCATGTGATGGCGTTGTGACTGAGTCCAATGATCAAACAAACCACTCTGTGTAGCCAATAACGCAATCATGTTGAACACATCGTAAAATGTGGAATTCTTACGAATCAAGAAACTTAGATGACCAGGGGTGAAGAAACAGTCCGGTACGCTGTGCAGTGTTCGATCACTTTTATCGATTAGTTCTTTATAATACGCAAAAAAGTTGAAGTCTCTCGAACTGAATAGTATACTTTCTTTTCCTACCGTCGCCATTCTCTGAAGCACACGGAGGTCGAAACCAAAATGTCTTGGTTTAATTTTACTTATGAGTTCGGTTAATGTTCCATCTTCATTCGCACTAATAACAACCGCTTTCAGGTCTTCTGTTAAATATACAGTTTCGATTATTCTAGCTGCTTCCTGCAAATTTTGAGGGTCCTTGTGCCGCGGTGGATGCGCGAGCAGTCCCAGGAGCTGACCGGAATATGCGTTGCTCACCACGACGGCAAAGAAGAGAGCGGCGGTGAAGGCGACTCGCTGTGCATTTGTTTGCACCAAACGCGTGCAGGAACTGGAGAGCACTACTTGCACGACGTCTAAGATAGCGTGCGATATACTGCCATCCGATGAAGTCTTGATGTATCTGCCTTGAACCAGGCTGAAAACATTCACCACATACCAAATCACTGCGAAAGCACACATGGATAGCAACAAGGCCGTCCACGTAGAAAACTCGTACGGCGACAGAAGTACCATTCCGAAGGTGAAATATGGCGCACGTTTCATCACCAAACATAATGGACCGATGGCCACAGGCGCCGTGGAATCCAAAATTTTCAGTCTCTCAGGAGTGAAATACACGAAGGTCACGGCGAAATCAGCTTCTCCACTTTTGAGTGCTGTCATCAAAACTGAGTACGAAGCTGCAGGCTTCTTGTGCATTATTATCCCTGTCTTGCGTTCAAGGGTTTGTAGAAAGTTGTAAACGGGACTGTCGAACATTCTCTTTCCATCTCTGTTCAACCACGAGTAGTCGAGGGAAGCTTCAATGAAAGTGACAGTGAACTCGCGTCCTCTGAATTCATCTCTCTTTGCTGGCGGAGCTGAAACATGTTCCTTGTAGCTTACTTCTTGTTTATTTGGTAAATTAGGCAGGAGGTCTGGAGAGATTGCCAGAACCCAGCTGTTGAAAACTCCTGCGAGAACCGACATATGGAATTCAATGGATTTGTATAGAACCATGGCCCTTCGAAAATATTCTGAAGACCACTTCTAATCCAGAGTATAAATCTGCATTGACATGTTTAATTCTCCCAAAATTATTACTAAGATTATACTACACATGATTTTTGTGCAAAGAGGATTCGTAGTTTCTCCCGCAGAATATGCACAGTGTGATCCATGAAAAGTGTGAGTTTCACTTCAAGCTCCTTGATGTGTTTGTTCCTTGTATCCTAGCAACGAAAAAGAGTTCTGAGTGAGCGAGCGTGATTAGATAATCCACAGTAGATGAAAGAGCAACATATTGATCGTACAATTAGTGTGTATTTACTTCTTTCTTTTATGGTTCAACATCAATTTATCTGATATTCCTAATCGACAATGCAAGGTTTATCGTTGATGAAAACGTAATAGAGTATTCTTGTCAATAAAACAGCTCTCTGACTCTTTAATCCTTAAAATGTTCCCTCGCAAAGTCTACTGCACAATACATCACGAAGTGAATTCAAGGCAATGGTTATGAAATAATTGTAAGTCGCTATTCTGATCTATCACACGTGTAACAACGAATTGCAAAGAGGTAGATGCGGGAGTTACGAGTGGATTGAACATTTGACGATGCTTGTACCGCAGATAACAATTCGTTCTCCCATTAACACGTTCTCATTCAGAATTTGAACCATTATCATTCACTTTCTCAGAATGAAATTATAAATTTCGTAATTGCCGTAGTGACGAGGTATGCACTAGGTGGTGGTTACGTTGTTGGCGGAAATCTTCGAAGCAGCGACATTTTCCTAAACAATTCTACCACAAACAATTATGTTGATGTAATAGAATTGTCGTAATGTCAGGCAATTTCTTTTGTCAACTACTTCCTGGAATAATTTGTGCAACTGCTTAAAACATGATTGTTTAAGACCTTATATAAAACCTTCTAGCCCTAGCTTTAAAAAAAACCTACTAGAGCTAGAAAGTTTTTTAATTCCATTATTCAGTTTTAGCACCTCTCTGTGGCGCATTTTGTAATGTGCAGTGATTAATGTTCTTGAGGATAAATTGTGAAGAACTACGAATATAATACATTAAAATTAATAGTAACGAAACGCTCATATCGTGTCATGTTCATCTTTATTTATCCGTCGTATCATTCGTTTTACTGTTTTCAGTCAAGACATTGGTTAGGTGAGAACTAAAAGCAATTAAAATTTATTAAAATTTTGGGGAAGTGAATCTACCAAAACGAAGGCATTTTGATGTTAGATACTCTATAGTTCCGAAATAGACATATTTTACTTCAATTTCCGATAAGAAAGGCAAATTAAAAAATGTCCACTCAATTATATTATTTGTGATCATAGTCCTGCGCAGCATACAAAATGAGAGGGGAAAACTACGCGTCTGGGCCTTCCTTTTCCATTAAACATTTTTATTTAACATCACATTTCACTAGAAAATTAATGAAACATGATATAAAGCGTAACTTTAATAATACGATTAATTAATACAACTATTGATATGTTTAGTTGCTCGACGTCGCTCTTGGCCTGCGCACTAAGGGCGCGTGCGGTAAGGTGGTGCGCCAGGCGACGCGGCGCGTGGGAATCGCGCGGGTAAGAGGTCGCCCCTGCGCCTCCTGGCCGACGCCCACGGTGCGGGGCGGTGCGGCACGGCGACCCGACTTGTCTCGTCCGTCGCACGTGAGAACGCTAGCGTCGCGACGCCGTATGAGGCCTTCCCCTCCCGCTTCCTGCCAAGCGTTCGCGATTTTCACCACAGATTCCGAATCGAACAAGAGTGTCGTACGAATTAAAATAAGAATTTCCTGACACAAACGGAGGAAAATATTGGGCTTTGCTGAACGAGAAATTCGTTGTATTGAAACAAAATACGCCTCTTAAAGCATGTGAACGTACATCTGAAGATATCGGTGTGACATTGTCTTAAAAGAAGTATGTGTAATATTGGAATGGTGTGCCCAGATGATAATTGTAAACAAAAAAATAATACCAACTCTTTGTTTTTCATTTATAATGAGAGATTGACTCGTGAAGTCCCAATGAAATGTTAATGCAACCGTTTGGAATGGCAAGGTTACAACTAATATTTCAGTCGTTTTCAGTAAAAGAATGTCTGAAGTTTTGTTTCCTCTCTCCATCTGCAGTAGTAATTTTCTATAGTAGCTATTTGTCCACAGATTGATACATTTCTTGCTGCAGAAGTCAGATATAACCTTCTCACACTAACAAATTTTCTTCAATTTCTTCGTTTGAAACCTTGCCATATCGAAGTATCGATATGTACGTTTCACATACATTAACAGAATTCTGAAAATTCAAGATGAATCAACAAAAGTATGAATTGTATTCCAGACGTAAAAACATTATAATTTATTATGTAAAAATGAATATTTTACATTTTTCTTTTTCATGTGACTTTTCCCCTCCCCTCTCATTTTACAAGACAAAGATGTGATCACTAATTCGCAGTACTCTTAAGAAGGTTCCACACATTTGTTAATCGGCGAGTCGCTCGCCGAATCCCTAGTAGAATGGTTGAGTTATATTGGCCGTGCGAAGGACATTCGGCACTCGCCCTACCCAACGCGTCGGTCTTTTCCACACATCAAAGGAAGTGAATATTGAAACATTGTCCATCGGCTCGGGATTAGGCGAGCACAAGCTTGCTGCTCGGACATTGCCCAAAGTGTGCAGCCGCCTTTAGAGCCTTCTGACAAAAGATTCAGGTTTGATTTTGACTCGTTCTTCAATAGGAAGCGTATAAATCCGCTATTATTGTAAACATCAAATAATAGAAACACGCATTGTGTATCTGCTTATCCTAAAACAAAAGAAACAACACATATTCCTTTTGGAGGATGCATCACAAAAAAAGGTTTTCATATTCAACTTATAACAAAATACCTCAAATTTACTTTATTCCGGCATTCAATATTATAAACGAATGTGTAGCGCAGCTGTGAAATGCCTGCTTGTAATTTAGTGCTAATTTCAAACGTGTTTGCATGTAGGTGTACACGGTAGTTACATTTGTGTATTGTGGTTTCTAACGCCCCGAATAGCACTTTCAGTGAAAGCAGAGTCATATTCCATTGATAAACGTAGCGTGGAACTCGAAATTATGCATGAATTATTTATTAACCTAAAGAGTTACATTAATTTTAATGTCCCTTGGCGGCAGAGCAGCAACGCGAAAACCGCTGTCCTCGGGGACAAGAAATAATTTAACATTGTAAAACAGTCTGTAGAAAATAAAAAGCAATGATAACAATAATAACAAAAGCAATAATAACAATTAATTCATTAACAAACAATTTACTCTGTTTTTTTGTTCACGAGCCCACACCCGGTGATGTTTCTCTTTCAAAGGCCTGCAAGCTAAGAGCCCTTTGTCGACTAAACTTTAAAATCTAATAAAGACCTTCATGACACAGAAGTATTTTCTATACAACTTCCAACAGATACAGTCATACTCTCAAAATATTTTTTTTTTAAATTCTATATTCTTTTCAGTCATTGCCTTGCATAGTAAGTTCTCAGTATTCAAAGTACGGCTACCTCTCATATTGTCTTCATTAGGTGGTGATATTTCTTATTCTGGTGAACTTTTCTTCAACGGCAGAACGAAGAAGGAAATTCCAGAATCAAATAAACCACTTTTAATTTGCGTGTATTATGCTGTGTTTTTATTTTGCTTGTTAAACCGATGCTCTCCAGTTACCAAACGAAGATGACACAAAACTGATGCAGAAACTTGAAATTAAAACAAGCAATCTTACCAAATAGTTTAAAACTCGACTTTATTTTTTTAAATTATTGTTAAATATATTTATAACACTTTAAAATATACCTTGACTTTGAGCACTTAATGATTGAACCAGTCACTATGGAAAACTTTTTAAGAAAACGCTCAGAAAATGAGGACGCAATTAATATAGAAGCGCAAACAAGATGGGAAGAAGAAATATCTGACTCTAAGAACAGTAACGAAGAGCGAAACTGATAGGCCAACATTGACACAAAAGATCAAAAACAAAATTAACCGAACGAGGGGTACACAAGAGTAGAGGAACACTGACGAATCAGAAGAAAGCGAAAGATTCTCACACAACCGAAAAAGAAGACGAAACCATGTGGAAAAGAGGCTGACAGAAAAGACATGCACGCGAGACAGAGAAAGAGCGCGCATTCTTTCGGAGGAAGAAAGCTTTCGCCTTCCGACAGCTCATTCGCATTCGTGTTGGTGTGAAAAGCTAGCATTGCCAAGAAGCCTGCCCACCCAACTGCCCGACCCTTTAACTGCCCGTCCCTCCAACTGCCCGTCCCTCCA